TCTGCAATGGAATTGATCCTGACTTGGCATTTCGCATTCTGTGACTTTCTCACAGACGTGAATGCGGCTTCCCTCGGTCTTATCTACAAATATTTTCATGGCAACCTCTCTGACAAGCTTTTTTTTCCCTGGTGCCGCGACTTTATGAAGTGTGCTGCTAGATTGGCATCTTGCCTCCACCATTTTAATGTTGAATTATTATGTTACCGCCACTTCTACTCCAACGGTTTCTTTTCCCGCACTTCTTGAGAGTGGAACGTCCTTACGTTTAATTGCTTTCCTGATAACTACAATCTTCTCAAAGTTTCATGCATCTTCAATTGATTTGAACCCCGTTCACCTTTATACTTTCCTCAATCCCTCCTCTACCCAATCATTTCCATAATCTCCTGTATACTAGTGTCACTCCCGCCTTGCCTAGGATGAAATGATTAAAAAGTTACATTAACGTAAATATCAATTTACTCCGATGAAGTCCTAAATGACGAAACGCGTCACATGGAAAAATTCTCCTTTGTCATATATATATATATATATATATATATATATATATATATATATATATGTAAGAGGCCCTGGACATCAAAGAGCTCTCCACTACCATCAACCTTGAAGGTATCCGTCTATATTTCGGAGATGAGGTATTATGTACATTATTTATATTATTCGGACTGTTTTCCTTATCGTTGTCACCATATTTATTACAACGTTTCGGCCGTTGTACGCTCCAGCCTTCTTCAGTTGGTTGGAATGTCAAACTGAACCCTTTATTTTGCTCACTGGCGTAGACTGTTCTAGTTCCACGTGCCATGTTTAATGGATGTCAGTTATCAGTTATCTCCTGTTAATTTCCCTCTGAAAGTTCTCCACTGCCTTAACTGGGTATTGAACCCACACTCTTTGGGTCCTGTCACTGGCTCTAACTAAATGTAACTTGGTAGTGCGTTTGAAACGTGTCGAAATTGGAAAATCGGTGAGCTGGGTACTGGTTTCTGACAATTCGCGGTCGCCTTTTGAGAGGATGGCATTGCAAATGCTCACCGTCTTTGGATACGAGACTCTGCCTCATGCAACATATTCCAGTCGGGTTCGTTCATTTGCGCAAAAATACACTTGGGAAAAGTATGAATCTATCTTTCTCACTTCCATCTATGGATTTATTTGAAGGACTTGTATAAGTAAATCATCATTATTTCGGAATAAATTCTTTCAATCTAAAAATATATTCCAGCTTTAAATAACGGGCAAAAATTTTATAAGCAGTAAAAAAAATAATCCATCCGTCAATCAATAAATCCAAATTAAGCATGACGAATTAGGGCAACCTGAACAGTTAGAGAAATCAGCTAACAGAAAAAAAAGTACAAATGTACTAATATAAGATTACTTGTAAGAAGAGAATAAAAAATACACTAGCTACAAAATGAGCAGACCGTTCATTATGGCCTTCTCTTCAATAGGGAAATGGCTTTCTCAGAGTGACATGATTACTTAGGACGACAATGTAACTAACAGATCATGCAGACAGATTTCGTTTAGTTCTTTTGATGCTTTCTAACAATAAATAATTTCAACGGCATTATTCTTACTATGTCAACGAGATTGTCTTTCTGTGATGTTTCTTCTGGAAATTCTTATCCTTGCCTATTTACTTGAGCCGGTCTGATATTGTTGGAATACCATTATCCGAGGAATTTCTCTGACGCAGTGACAGGGATTATGATCGAGTAGCGGCTTCAGATGTTGTTTGTCAATTGTAGCTGAACATCCCATGGTACCTTGACCTTCAAGAATCGTATTCCCACTGCGGAACTTCCGAGATCATCACCTTTACTGTCCGATGCTAAGTGAATCCTTCACACCATACACTGTTAATGTTGGAAGCAGTTTTAGAAGCATTATGACCCAGTTTGTACTCATGTAAAAATAGAACACGCTTTTCGGCTTTTTTTCTTGCTCAAGATGAAGGGTATATAATGATTTAAGTTAAATTCTGAAAGAGATTGATAAATATTTAGCAAAGGATACACATTACTTATCGGAAAAGCTTACTATATTTTTTGCAACTATTATAATAATACGTTAGCACATAAGTAAATGGTTTACTCCTAAAATCAAACATCGGAACATCTAATATAATTGAAAGATGCTGACACTATCTTTGTAATTAACTGGAAGCTCTGAAATGATGACGTCTTGTTATATACCGTACCTATGAACATGAATGGTTATATCCCAATCCTCATAAATACGTTAAACACTATTGTAAGTGGCGGGGTATACTGTCAAATTAGTCGATTTCTAGAAATGGTCTACCTACGTCACGCCCCTGCTGATTATCGTATTTTGTGATATTATAAATATTTCCATTTTGTTTCCAACTTCCGTCTTGGTTATTCCTCATTCAGTAACCATTTCTAGGTAGATAGATATTGAATTGGCATAGATAGATAGATAGATAGATAGATAGATAGATAGATAGATAGATAGATATTGACATAGCACTGTGTTATATACTGTAGCTATCAACACTAATGCGTATGTCCCAATCCACAAAAATATATTAGGCACTATTGTAAGTGTGAGTTTACAGGCTGTATAAGTAGTCCACCACTAGCAGTGGTTTACCTACTTCACGCCGCTGGCGAGTATTGTATTTTGTCGATGTTATAAAGATTACCATTTCATTTCCAACCTCCGTTTTGGTTATTCCTCATTCAATAACCTTTTCTATGTTATAACACGTCTTTTCAAGCTGACAAATGTTTTCTAACAATATTACCAGTTATGGTAGTACCAACTTTCTTAGTTTCGTCAAGAACAACCACTGCAAACCAATTCTATAGGGAATGGTTTTCGACTTTCCTTTTTGGTTTCCACTAGAAATTTACAGCTCTGTTATGTACTATTGAACCAATCAAAATCCCCAGCGTTAACATGCAATGCAATTCTCATGAAATAGTCAAAAACCTCAGCAGTTTATGCATATTTTTGAACATACATTTGTCAGAAATTGGCTCGTTTGTTACTCCTGGAAGGATATAATGATGTTTTTGGATTGAAAATAATTCCACCTTCTTGAATCCTTTAAAAATTTGATGTAATGTGTAAATATTTTTTATCAATATTGAAGCCATACGAAATAAGCTTAATATCGTGGCAATCATTTTCTTCTGGAACTGCAAAGACTACACCAATGGCTAAATATTAAACTGCTGCCTTCCAGTCCATTATGTAAAAGGAAATATAAACATTGATTATATTGCGTTTTAATAGAAAACTTCATCTCACCTTTCAAAGAGGCAATAGCTTCATTGACAATTGCAATGGCTTGGAGATTATCCAAAGAAACTATAGAGATTCGCAATAACAGGAAATATAATATTGATAAAATTTCCTAATGATGTCTGCGAAGGATTTCTTTAGGCCTCTAAATCAACTCATCTCTATGAAGGTATGAAATGAAGATATTAATAAGATATAGGCAATGTCACAATACAGTTTAGAATTCATCTTCACTAAGCGTACAATGTTTCGATTCATAACTCAGCTATGAAGTGAAGAAAGTAATAATTTGTAGGCACTGTCACAAGTAAATTAATAATTCAACTGCAATCTACATACAACTCTTCGATTCACAACTCAGGTAAGAAGTGAAGAAATTAGTAAGATATAGGCACTGTCACTATACCGTTAATAATTCGACTTCAATATGCGTACAAGTCTTCGATTCACAACTCAGGTATGAAGTGAAGAAACTAATAAGACATAGTCACTGTTACAATACAATTAATAATTCAAAACGTTTCGACCCTCCATTTATTTATAGGGGATTTCATCAGTGGAGAATTCATATTTAGCAGCGTAACTATAGATGCGGTTGGATACGCGTAAGAAATAATCGATTTTCCAAAGAATTATGACACATTTCAAAATGAAAATGTTCCAAAAAGCTATGGAGAAACTGCGTAAAATGGCTGAAATAAAGTTTATTATGACTACGCTTTCCAAAAGTGTCTACGTTTATACGCTTCTACTCGGATATTCTTAGTGATAGTGACATCACTGCTTTCATTTTAATACCAGATCATAAATTCTTTTTGGCAATGATTTATCTTGAGTCCTATTTCTTGGGTCAATTGGCTTATGGCCATATAGCATCGAGAAAACCTCGCACAATCACCGAAGTTAAGCAAAGTCAATACCTTGTTGGGTTACCATTTGTGAATAAAACGTACTGTAAATTTGGATGTGTAGTTGGTGTAATAATAATGCTAGGAATTATCAAACTGTGAACCGAGTTCCAATTCCCTTTGTGTTCGACCTATTTACATACGGGAAAATGTCCTTGGGTTGGGTAAAATTCCACGTTTTCCCGTCTCTAGATTTGCGTCACTGAATAATTACCTCTATCTATAAAACGCAGGATGTGTGTGTGTGTGTGTGTGTGTGTGTGTGTGTGTGTGTGTGTGTGTGTGTGTGCGAATGCACGACCGCAATTTTCGACGGATATGCACCAAAATTTACATACACATGCTCCAAGTTATCGACAAGGCCAAGACCGACTTTGCATTTCCCAACTCCCATCGACAGTGGAAATAATCGATTTTTTCATGCTTCTATGGCAATTTTCATGTAGTTTGCGGCCATTTTCTATTGGCTAGAGTGAGAGCCTATAGCTGGCTGCCACGAATAGGCAGGAAGATTCTGTTGGTCAGCGTGAGAGCCAACAGCTGACTGACACGAATGTTAACTAGCATACAAGCATGTAAAAAAAATCGATAGCTGCATTCGTCACAAGTGGGAAAAATCTAAATCTGCATGGCACTTTACTCCAATTGGCTCATTCGCTTGCTTAAACTCAACGTTGATTCTGATTCCAAAGAACTGGGTTTGGTGTGAAAAAGTATTTGTTGTTAACATTTTTTTTTCATTCGGTTTTTCCAGTTACGATTCTTTTTTTTAAACCTGATCGTTTTGTATTCATTTTGTTTAGTTCTTTTTTCGTAACAGATTTAATGTTTAGTATAGAGCTTAGAAAAAAATTCGTAGTGTGAGATAGGCAAGAAGTAAGGCATGTAGCAACATCAGCACGGCAAAGGGCACTCCTTTAAAGGCAAGGAAGGGCACAAATATTTTAAGTCAAGTGATAGCGATTGCTGTATGAGTCGAGCGATTTTTGAATCAAACACGGGCAACGTCGGGTCATGCTGCTAGTTATTTCTAAAATAATTCTTACAATCTATTTTCTGGCATTAAATAACCTGCAATGGGTTGATAAGACGTACAAAACGAACCCATCAATCTTTGTTCACTTGGTAGAGAATGATGATTTTTTTTTTCAAGTTCATTCCTATCCGAACTATTAATACCTATATCACCAGCAGTAGTCCCATCTTCATAAGCACATTGACCTCGGGAGGGAAATCTGCAATAATTGTTAGCTTTTAAATAAAATAAAATGAAAAAAAATAAAATAAAATTAAGACAAAGTAAAAGATGACCTCAATAAAAATGAAATAATTTAGAGAAAATCAATTTTGACAAATACTTAAATAATTCCATTTATATTTAATTATATATATTAATTATTTAATTATATATATATATATATATCAATTATCTATGGAGTTAAAAGTAGCATATATGTTAAATTTAACGCTGTTTAGTAGCCCATTTTTACATCAAAGCATTTTTTATTCACAGGCCCAACTTTATAAGAATGTTTTCCATTCGATAAAATAATATTCACTAGATATATCTGCAGTGTTAAATAATATTGTTTACACGCGTATATTGGAAAGTTCACGATTCGAGCCACACAGGTTCTCGCAAATCATCGAACTTAAGCAACGTTGAGTCTGGTTATTACATAAATGGGGGACTGCTTAGGAATACAAGTATCTTTAACCTTGGATTATTGGTTGCTGAAATGGATAACGGCACGAAATTGAAAACCGGAGAGCCGAGTACCGGTCTGGTTCGTTATATTACCTTACGCGTTAATATCCTTGAGAAAGGTATGAAGTCACCTTTTCTCTCCCCAGCTATGGGTTAATTAGTAGGATTAGAAGGCGTCTGACACCAGTATTGTTCAACGGCGTCACTATAGTTGTATCTGCGATTATAAAGTTTCTACTACAAAAAGCATTATGAAAATATTCGTTGACATTACAAAAGTGGTAGCGAGTGTTTGTTGACATCACAAAACTTTCTCTATCAGTGATAATTCTAATCGATTTTAACATTTCCCATTACTTTTTCTTTGTCCTTTTCTTTTTCCTCTATTACTATACGGACCGCTATTCTCTGCTCTATTCACTATACTATTTCTCTTTTCTACACGGGTTACTATTCGAGCGAGTATTATCGAGCAAGTACTATTAGTGCGAGTGATATTCGAAGGCGTCTGATATTAGTATTGTTCAACGGCGTTATTATATTTGTATCTGCGATTACAAAGTCTCTACTACAACGAGAATTATGAAAGTGGCAACGGGTATTCATTGGCATCACAAAAGTGACAACGAGAGTTCACTGACCTCACAAAACGTTTCTTGCTCCAGTTAACAATAGATTGTTGGCCATAATTCAAATTGTTCTTAAAATCATATACTTTTTTCTTTTGTCCTTTTCTTTTTCCTCTATTACTATACAAACCGCTATTATCTACTCTATTCACTATACTATTTCTCTTTTCGGATCATTATACGGGTTACTATTCTAGAGAGTATTATCAAGAAAGTACTTTTAGTGCGAGTGTTATTCGAAGGCGTCTGACACCAGTATTGTTCAACGGCGTTACTATAGTTGTATCTGTGATTACAAACTCTCTCCTATAACGAGCATTACGAAAGTGAAAACAATATTCGCTGACATCACAAAACTGACCTCCTGATTTAGGACTAACTGAGGGACAGACTGGCTGGTTGCATTCAATGCCTCGAAAACCAAACTAGTTACATTGCATTATCACCGATCTGACTCCAAACAACCGCCAGTGTAGATGAATAGATCTTCTCTCGTGGTGACTCTGTGCATTGAGAAAATAAATGACTGGAATGCGAGGATGCAACTCTGCTAGGGAAGCTAGTTAATCCCCAATGCAGACGCCTGATCAGACACATTTGTGTTTGTTCAACACCTAGAGAGACCACCTGTGGTTTATACTGCAACTATGCTGAGCGGGGCTTAGTTACAGTTTCTGGGAGAGCGCGCTTTATCTAGCGTGATCAACAACCTGAACAAGGCTCATTCACTCAAACCCTCGGTCACGATGACTTGAGTCCCGTTTACCCAATTTCACTCAGAGGGCTTGGCTCAATCCCGGATATGATTTTCATGCACTTTCTAAAGTTACCGCACGCTAGGATTGCCTACTTAAGACAGAAAACATCAAGAAGTCACATTCGTAACAAATCAACCATAGTGAGTTTCGAACCCGGGACTCATGGTCTTAAAGCAAACGTTCTAATCACCCGACCACGTGTCCCTGAATTG